CGCATATTATTTTCGGGGGTCGGTACGCGAAATCCAAGCAAAGTTTTTAAAATGGAAGAGTAACACATGGGGTGGGAACATGCTCAAAAAATTTCAGTCTCCTAGCTTTTCTGGTTGCTGAGTTGAAAGTGGATGACAATATTTACACACTTCCGAAAACACACACACAAGCATAACCTCTCGGCAGTATCCGATTTTGCTTACTGCAGCAGTGCTATAGCTTTGCACATCATACTAATACACAATGAAAAATGATTTATTGATGGCTTTCTAACGAATTTTATGCTTATCCATCCTTTCAGCTTTTCTTGCTATCCAGCACATAAATGCATAAATTTGATAATTTTATGACTTCTCCAGCCTAGGCTTAGATTTTCTCAGTGTCACAGTTTTTCTGTGATCCCTTTCCAAAACAACACCAGTATTTTTATTCAGTACAATCTGCACTGCATTACAAAACTAACTTTTAACACGAAAATACTAACTGGCTAAAAAGTGATTTTTAACTGCGTATTTGGAAGTACCATTTTTTTCGCTTTATCTGGTCAGTTTTTGGTTTTGCTATTAAACGAAATCTCATCTATAGCGATATAAATAGCACTGGCAGTTAAACAGAATTCCAGAGGCAATCAAAAATCCAAGTGTGAGTGTGTAGGAGCAACAGAAAGATGTAAACTGAGACCAGTTATGTGCTAGAAAAACTGCCTTTGATGCATGCTGTTTTGCAGCGCGAAGAAAACAACTTACTTTTGACTGAGCGGAGCAGGCCCATTCGGCAAAATCTGTTGATCCTGTGGATAGGCATCCGGTTGTTCGACAACCTCATTTTGAGCAAATGCATGTTTTTCTGAAATGGAATTTGTCAGCCGGTATATCAGCAGAAGCACTAATTTTGAACATTACGATGAAAACTGAATTAGGACTCAGTTCAAATCCCTTCATATTTCTTAATTATCATCTCCAATACTGCCTGGTCCATGTGACAACACTGTCACCAAAAATAAAAACTGCTCAAAGAATTATCACACAAAAATTAAGCATAACGTGGGAACGCCTCCTCCCCAAGCATTGTGGCTGATATTACAGGTATTTAACTTCACCAGATCAAACATTTTACGAAAGAATCATTTTATGAGGTACAAGAATTGCTTCGGTTTCACTTCAGAACCCTAGCATATCGATCCCTTTGCAACAGGAAAAGGCAGCGGGACAAAGATGGAGGGGAAATCCCGGCAAATTTCTGAATAGGCTACTAAAGGAAAGAGTTTTCCGGATGCCTGTCACTGAAATGCCTTTACAGCTTCTGGGTCTTACTGTACCCACAAACTTTCTCTTACATGTCCCGTATTTTTAAATCGCATTTAGAAGAAACGACTATCGAGAACTTGCTAGTGATATGCAGTTGCTATAGGTAAAATCGCGCTGCACAGAGGGAATTCGAGTCGGAGACGAGTCCACCCTAGCCAGGAATGTCTAATTCAAAATTCTGTGAACAATCCTCCTGAAGTTGCAACAAACAGTACCAGTTTCAGCAAGGTATAACGATTCAACGCCTTCTGGAATAATTATAGATAATGCAGTGCCAACTAATAAACCAGCTCCAAATGTGCTTAGCAGGCGCGTCCGTCCCTCAAAATTGAGTTTCATGAGTTGAAGCAACAAATTAAACTGCAATTTGCTGGGAAGGCCTAGTCAGAAGTTCTAACCCAAATAAAACTGCAAAAATTTTCCAGTGTAAAAAAAGATGACTTCCACTTATTAATCATAATCATTGGCGAATTTTGCAATGGGAAATGGAGCAATAAACTCAGCAAGTTGACGGGGGAAAATATGTTTGGAGAAGAAACAGAAAATGAAATGGCTTCTTTACCTCGGACATGACGAAAGCCAAAGGAATCAAGCCAGCCAAGAAACTTCCAACAAGCATCGCTACCGACAAAGTTGTTAATAAATAGAAGCCATCCATCATCACTCCTGCAACAACTGCATCCTGGTTCGTCCCTTTGGTACAT